TTCCAATTTGTGTTAAAACATCTCTCCCTATTAGGCATTGTACTGTTGGTGGAAGTTGTACAACAGACAGAATAACATTAGCTACACGACATTCCACTTCTATATTTATAATAGGAGTTCGCATAGCAATTGAAGCACCTCCAATGCCAGTCACAGTTGTAGTAGAAGGTTGCAGAGGCCAATATTTCGGCCAACAATGAGGTGCTATGATACTAGAGTCTGCTCCTATGTCTAGTAAAGCATCCAGTGTTTTTGTTTGATCTTTCCATATAATTGTAACTTTATGTTTTGGTCGTTCGCTTAAATCTAATGTCAATAAGGTAAGTCCTTTTGTAGAACCAAATCCATGATCTCCACGTTGCATTAATTGTCGGTCATTGGTCAAAGGTTTTGTAAACTGGGTAAGGGTATTAATTGAGCAATGCGTTGTCCTTTAGGAATTTTTAAAGGTGGAAAAATGGTGTATGCCATGACCATTATCTGCCCAGTATAATCAGCATCTATAAGTCCAGGCAACACAAATAATCCAGCAAGACTAGCTGATGATCTTCCTATCAGCAGTGCACCAAACACTTGTTTATTTATTATTAAAGGTCCATAAATCCCGGTGGGAATCTTTTGAGGTTGGGTGGATAGCAAGGTGACTTCTACTGCTGTTGCCAAATCCAATCCGAGGCTACCGGCTGTGGCAGGTTGTAATCCGAGACTATTGGTTGAGGTTGGTTGTAATCCGCAACTGTCGGCTGGGGTAGACTGCAGTTGTTTTCCTGTCCGTGGAATGGATTGTTCGGTGAAAAGTTGTTGGTCGGAGTCATCTGTGCTGCAGCGACGACTTGTGTCCGCGCGCGGCCACTGCAACTCTTCGCGCTCCGTCCTGAGTTTCCCGAACGACTTCGGCAGGCAGCAGTGTTGTGGGTGGAGCTCTGGCACTGCTGACACCAAATTCCTGTCGCTCGGCACTCTTTTCGGAAATGTCCAGTGGCTCCACACCAGTAACATTTTGATCGGGCTTTTCCTTCTGCAAAATTATGTGCCTTTGCTTGAAGGGGTGCAAGAGCTGCTAAAACCTGAGCTTGGGAACTTTGAGCCTGCTCCTTAAGTCCCTTAGCTAAATCTTGAATAGCATTAACTAAAAATGCATTTTCTCCTGTAGGAACAACTAATGCTTTTTCTAATAACTCCTCAATAGTCCAATAAGGACCCATCGTACTTATTATTTGCTTAATTGTTGAAGTAGCATTTTGCAACACACATTGCTTTAACATAGTTCCTTTCATATAATCTGGTACTCCTGCTCGAGTGATAGCAGCTGTTAACTTGTCAACATATTCTCCAAATGATTCATCCCTTCCTTGTTTTAAGCTCATATACAAAGGTACTCCTCCTGGCTCTTTAACTCTGTCTAAAGCCCTTCTAACGAGATCCATTGCCTCTCTAATCTTATCTGGGCCAAGATGAACTTGTGCCTCAGGGCATGTATATGGCCCCATACCCATTAATTCATCTATAGTGACACCATGCAAAGGGTCTCTGGGTGGCCGTTGTTCTGCTACACTTTCATTAACTAATGCTTGCCAATGTGCATTAAATAGCAATTGTTGATGTTCAGTCAATATCATACGAGTTATAGATCGGAGATCAGATGGCAGTAAAAGATATGTACTCCAAAAATAATCTAACATTTGTTTAGTTGGTTCAGCATGTAATCCAAACTCACTGACTGTACTTCGCAACCGTGCCAAGAATTTCCAATCTAATGCAGTAATAGCAGCGTTCATTCCTCCCTGCCCATCCTGGTTATAAGTAACGGGAAAAGCATACAAATCTACAGCCTGCAGCCCGTGAGAATCACCCTGCTCCATACAGTGCTTAGCAAATGCAGCCCAAGTTTCTCTCCGCTCTTTTACCACGGCCTCCACCAGGTCACTGAATGCCCCAGGGACAGGCTCTTTGGTCGAGTGAGCAGGAGGAGGAGGCGTGGGCCAAGGGTCAGTCTGACCGCTGGGTGCATCGGCCAGGGGAGGTGGTGCAGTAGGAGCTGCAGATATCTCTGATTCTAGCAACCCGTCTGTATTTATTTTTGAAAGATCAGGGGGCACAGCGGGGAGGTGAACTGTCTGCATAGCTGGGGGAGAAGGCTTATAAGAAAACCAATCAGAATTCTTATACTCTTTGTTCTGCTATCTCACATTTAGTGCTTGCTCTGCCGCTCGGCGTTCTGCCTCATGTTGCAACAATGTATTATAAACCACCCTCCAAAGCTTTCCTAGCTTTTTTGCAACTTTATCATCATCTAAAACAGCCTCCCATATTTTATAACCAAATTTACGCCACTCCTCTAAGGAATGCACAGTATGAGGATTTACAAAGCACCCTTTTTCATTACCATAATCAAGTAACCCAGGGAGTTCCTTTTTCAAATCCAAACCTTTAACCCCCTTTTTCTGTAAAAATTCAGAAAATAAACTATATGCTGCTTGCCTATCCATACCTACGTCAGCGCTGTTGCAGCCCTTTCAAGGTCCGGCAGCACGTACGGCAGAGCTTGTCTATACAACGCTCCGGGGCCGAAGATGCATCTTTATGCCAACTTTTTTCGACCAGCCTCGCTGCTAAGGCTCCGACACCTTGCCATCTCAACCGTGATTCCCCCGTTTCTTTAAACCCAGTCGAGAAGTCCTCTTTAAGTCGAGAAGTCCTCTTTAAGTCGAGAGTCCTCTTTAAGTCGAGAGTCCTCTTTAAGTCGAGAGTCCTCTTTAAGTCGAGAGTCTTCTTTAAGTCGAGAGTCTTCTTTTAGTCGAGAAGTCGGGGTCACCATTTGTTGTAGACGACGGGGTATCAATTTACACGACCACAGAATTGATCATGGCTTATCCAACTTTATTGCTGCATGTTTTGTGCTTATAAAGGTTACTAATTAGCTTTATACGTATTACAAAAGCTAAGCTCATCATTGGCTTCTAATTACCTAAGTTATATTTGCGCAAATGCTATTCCTTTCACCTTCTTATGGTTACTTGTTTGCTATTTGCTCTGCTTTCCCATCCGCTTTATTCTATTCTTCTGTCACGTACCCAGTTTCTCAAATACAGTGACCTTCTAATAGTTTTCTCTTACCGTGGGACCAGAGCTAAAACTTCTCTCTCATGTCCTCTTTCTATCAACCATGTTTCTGTAATACTTTCCACAATTCAGCTAAAATGATTAAGAGAGACTAAATGTTTCACTGGATAAAATTTTATTTTTTTATAAAAAAAGATAGAACCAGATGCTACTTTTAAGTGAAATCATTTATTACACCAATCTGTTTTATAGGAGGTATATATATATTTTATCATTAAGACAAATTCAGTAAAATGACTATCTACAAGAATGACTTTGATTGTTTTATTTTCATGTCACCATACATGAACAAATGAATTTTATGTCTTATTAAAACATTTTATTCCGTATCAAAAATGTACACATTTTAATAACCATTGCTATGGTCTGAAGGGATTTTTACATTTAATTCATTTAATTTAAAAAATAAGTGTCATTTCATTGCTTTACATGGTACAGTGTAACCTTAAATCATCCTATATATAATAAAAGTTTGTGTAGGTATACAGGTAATTTTTCATGTTGTTACATACCTTCATGTTTGAGACACTGGTGGGGAAACTGCATTTCTTTTTTGCAAAAGGTTGAAGTATGTACTGATGTGAGCACAAAGCAACATTTCTTAAAAACAAAACCAGTTTGAATGGCACAAGAGTTAGCATTTTTATAAATTAACAACTAGAGTTCTGGATTATGGAAACAGGTACATGAGATTCCAGTACTTTCCTTAGGGCTTGGCTCTCTGGAAGAATACCTGTGAAAAATTATTTAAAAAAAATTAAAACAAAGGAAATACAAGACATGGAATGGTTGATGTATAAGGCAGTTAGTTTGACAGAGCTCATTTTCATGTTCAGCATATTGGTTAACACATCAGGTACAAGGATGTGACTTGTGCTATTTGATTACACTCACACCCTCAAAAATGATGCATTCTGACATTCTCTACAATTATAGCATAACCTTTTTGCTATTTCAGCTATTAAATAAAAGCCACAAGAACATCAAGATATTGAGGAGATGGCAAGGTGCTAAGAATAAGTGACAACTTTATACATATAGGTTTTTTGTTTTTCCCAAGTAACTAGTTTTAATATTTGGAGATTCCCTATAGCTAAAAACCACTAAATAATTTAATACTTTGATTTTACTTCAAGTCACTACTATGATTGAATTGCATGACAAAGTTCAAGTGGAACTAAAAGCTATTTAAAGAAAAAAATCTTTATACCTTTAAGTAATTTTTAAAAACTTTAGCATCAGGTTGCTGAAGTGCTTGACAGAATTCCTGTAAGAGAGAATAAAGAAATATTAACTAAATGAAGCAACAAGACAACCTGAGATACATTAGGAGCATATAAATACCTCGTACGTAAAGCCATTGATATTAGTTTGTGTTTTCCCTAATGCACAACCAAAGAAAAGCATGTTATGGATAAAAACTTGTAAAAGGCTATGACAGTCCAAGTGCATTCTGGGGTGAAAAACTGTTTTTGCTTTTTTCAAATACAAGATATCAGATCCATTTTTAGCTGAGTAGACAAACAGGACCATCTACAAGGATATCCTCAAGTTAAAATTTGAATTCAAGTAGGAAGATTGCTTAGACAGTCACATGCACTGGACTTTTTTTTTATTTGCAAGGTATGCTTACAGTAACTTTACTCCTTATGCTAAATTAATCCTATTCTGATATGCAATAACTGAATAAGTTTTATTGCTGGGGGAGGTTAACTTTGTAAGTACCCATTTTTTTCCCCATTTGAAATTTATCATTGTTAGAGTTTTCCAAATGTTCTTTTAGGAATTCCCACCTGGATTATCTCAGGAGCTACTTGCAAAGAAGGCAAATACTCTTGCTGAAGATACTGAATGCACTCAGGACCCTAGAGAAAAGCAGTACACAATTTTTCAAAGTATATTTTTTTACAAATGGAAAATCAGTCCGATACTGTATGGTACAGAAAACTGAAAACAGGTGGTTTATATGACTATTATAGAGAAGTAATAGCATATCAAATGCTTATGTTATTCTCAGCTGTTAGCAAATAAAAAGATTTGTCAACCGTGGCATTAAGAATTCTACTGCAATTTGGTATCTTTTGTTACACAGCAAAAGAATGCACAGAAAATTGCAGTGAAATAAGAATTACAATAGAACCAATCAGTTTGTTACATGTCAACTGTAAAAGTCAGTTATGTATGAAGGCAGCCCTAATTTCACTATCTGACATATGGAAGAAATAAAAAAAATGGCTTTTAGTATCTGCTTACTGTTTTACCACACTACTCCCACTGCAAAATTTAGTAGCCAAGTACAGCTAAACACAGTATTTCTCTTCTTGTAACTTTGACTGTTATCTGCAGTGGACTAAGCAGTAATTATATGGAACTTCCAAACCTTTGAGCAGTGCAAACATTTTGATTAATGCTTCAGTTTTTGTTTCCTTTACTGTATTTATCAGATAACTCTCATCACAGGAGGGATTACTCTACACTGTCAGAATACAAACATGACTCAATACATCTACCTGGGGAAAGTGAATCAACTTTATTAATTCACGTAAGTTACCCTAGAACTAGAACATGGTATACAGTACACATGAGGGGAAAAGATTTCAGATCATTTTCCCATATTTGTCTTGATTTGTCCTGGTTCCTGCCAGGCCAGGGTAATTTTTGCAGGAGGAGCAGTTATTCCGTACCAACTGTTGGGTAGCCTCGTGGTTCCATGGTGCTGAGTAGTACTGGTTTCTGTGTGGTGAGCTTTTTTTTCACGTGTAAGTCATTCGCTTTTCTTGTACATCCTTTTATTATTATTGTTAGTTTGTTTCTAATTTCATTGCTGTTTCCAGGAAACTGTTCTTATGTCAGCCCACAATCTTTACCTTTCATGCCTCCAATTCTCCTCTCCAGCCACCCGCAGAGGGAGGGAGAGGTGGGAGTGAGCGAGCAGGACATGGTTTCGAATGTTGCAGTGGGAATTAGGGAACAGTATTCCTAAGCCACAACAGTGTAAAAAGAAACTGTATTCATAATAACAAGTTATTTCCTTTACCAAAGCTTGATTTCCTATGGATTTCTCTCTTCATTGCATTTCGGTAAAAAAGGAGCAAACTCAGGAGGTCTCTTCAATTAAAACACAATTCCTTTTCTGCCAGTTTGTAACTTCTTACAATTTTTGTGTAGTTGTGACTTTAACTTGCATTTGACAGAAAAGTTAGCCTGTAAGTTAAATGATGTAGCAAGAAACTAACATGAACATAGAAAGGGTTTCATTTCCCATTAAAAATGGGAATACGCTACACTGTTTTAAGCATTAGACAATGCAAAATTTATTTTTTCCATGTTTTTCAATCTAGTCTCCTACACATCAAAATACACACTTATTTTTCACACAGAAGTGCTCTACAGTACATCACTAATGATCTTTTATGTCAGTTTAATTACTACACTGAAAAGTGAAAGAATGCCAATTGATCAATTAAACACAGTACCAACCAAGTGAGCAGATTTTTCTTCTTGATGAAGAGTCAATATTTTGCAGTAAGTCAATATTTATCAAGAGGTGGAAGTACTGGATCCCGTATCCCTGCGCAGCATTATGGTCATCTTGTTATTTTATATAACAGTACAGCAGGAATTCAGCATAGTAAGTATCTAACTTTTAGAAACTGATAAAAGCACTAGAAAGAAACCTGCAACAGTTATTCCCTGTAAAGTATGATGAAGCTTACCCTTTTGAGATGAATTGTTTTTAACGTCACTGCACACTCTGATAAAGCCTGAAATGTAATATATAACATTAGACTGTTGCATTCGTCTATTGGTTAAGTATTCAAAGCTAAAGAACTTAATAAGGACCAAAACAAGGGCTAATTCATGCTATTATTCCCTCATTTACCTGTCACATAATTCAGAGTCTTGACCTTCCAGGTTTTGTTCCACTCTAATCAGAAAAATTTCGGCACAGCTGAATCCAAAATGAACTAAAGAACAGTCAACTGTTCGTGTTTGCTTTCACTGAACATACAGGTCAATGTTAAATACTCAG